CCTCACCGCAGCATATTTATCCAAGTAATTTGCTATTCTAGTGTAGTAATAGTGTAAAAGTGTAAAAGATCACAGCAATAAATTTAGAGAAAACATTTTTCCTTTTCCTCCAACCTTCATCTGGGGATTCTGTTATTGCCTTTAGTAGGGTTCTGATCCCATATGACTTGGTCATCTCTCCCCTGTGGTCTGGCCTTTATTTTATTTTTTTTAATTCTGCAGTATTTTCTCCCGTCTAATAACACAGGTTATTGATTGATGAATATAGGTTCATTGGCTCTATATACCAAATTCCCTCAAAAGCATACCATGCTTGTAGCTAAGCATGTCTTTTTCTATCATTTTTAAAAACGTTTTGGATATGCCATTAAGAACCCAAGAACAGCAGAAAAGTAAATGCAGCTCTGCCATGCAGTACAGCAAAACAGGCTCCATTTGCTTGATAACTTATGGAGTTTACCTGTGTTTTTTTTTTTTACAGACAGAACCACAAAGCTCATTATCCATTCAAACCATGTAAACAGTGTAAATAATCCTGATCTGGACTGTGGATCAATTTCTGCTCTATTATTACTTTCTTGCAAATACCAGTTAGGCTCTGGTTAAGAATGAACAGCAACACTAGTGGATGGCAGTGACACTAAAATACTCACATTAATTCCTTTCAAGTGGTTATCAATCACGTGGAACACATTTTATTATATTAAACCATTAATCGATGGGCATAAGTTGATTTTTTTATTACAAACAATTGTTTCTGAGTTAAACATTCTTCAGTTAAATGGTTCTGTGGATGAAAAATAGATATTTTATTTATTATACAAATGTACATTTCATATGTTCAAGGTCCTTAATGATTAATCGGGTCTGTATTTCACATCTATATAATGATCATCATCTATATAATGAAATAAAGTTTCAAAGAGGTTTTAAACATTAATTGAAAATACAAGTATTTCAATTTATTCAAGGTTCTAACAAATATTTAGCTTTTTTTAGTTATCCCTGCTGTATTAAAGGTAAGATTAACAGTTAAGGATACGGTCTGTTTGTTCAATCCGTCCCATTCCAGTTGAAGGGAATGTGTTGATATTTTGTTTTGTTGCTTTTAAGCATTAGTTGGTCGTCATTACTAGAGTTGTGTTTTTAGAACCAAGTGGCCCTTCACTGAAGGTGGCGTCCGACAGGTCATGTTTGTCAAATGGGTGTAAATCTTGAGCGTGTCTGAGGACAGTTGAAGACCTGATAGCCAAACAGAGTTAAGTCTATCTATGACTAATTCAAAGAAACCTGTTAATGTTCTATGAGAGCAATGGTAATGACGTGCGTAACAACATTTTAACTAACGTGGTTCCATGCCAAAAAGTCATTCACTCTCCCCTTTGACCTCTTAGGAGAAAACAAATTGTGTCATATTTCCACGCTCCCCGGTATTCTATCTCTCCAAGGTTGTGCATTTCATCACTTTTGTTCAAAAAAATGGTCCTTCTGGCTGTGAATTTTGTCAAGCTTCCAAACAGCTGGCTAATCAATAAACAGACACTTCAGTGTAAACACTGCTTATCAGCAACAAATTAAGATTTCCAGGAATGTGACAAACTATACCTGAAAAAGGGCTGCCCTAGACTCTCCCTGCCGCTCAAAATGATGGATCATGCTGGGAAAGTTCTACCACGGTTTATCATCTGCAATCTAAATGAATTTATTCTTTCAAAAGGTACACAACTAAAACTGAAAATATTGCACCACTGATTAGTGTGAAAGATAACCAAGAAAACGGGTATAACTTTATAGAGCCTTCAAACTGTTTCACATGAAACATGAAATAAAAACATCCTTACAATTTACATAGTCTGCAATTCTTTGTTTTTATTTGTACTTTCTCTGGCCTTTTAGTTGCCGTTTACATGGACTTCATTTTGCTTTGCTATTCTGATTTAACAATTGAATTATCCCACAGACTGATAAAAAAAAAATGGACCTCATATTACGGATGAACAGGCTAATTTCACAAAAATATAATTACTAAACCAATTGAAATCTAACTCCGGTCTAGTTGACGTATCTATGAACTCCTAAACATGTCACACACTCTGCATCAAACTCACCATATCAATGCGTTTTTTTGCACCTGTATTCGTTTACATTTTTAGTACTGCTGGACTTAAAGAAAGGGAAATGTCATGAGCTGTACAAAACTTCAGTTAACTGTGCCCAGTTCGGTTCCTTACGACCGTTTGCACATAATCCTCGCCTCCTAGTGACGATTACGGTACTACTGCTCTCTAGCGGGAACAACAAAATTGTGGCGACGCCTGTAACATTCAGGAAGTTCTGTTTTAATTGTGATAATTTATTGTTTGTGGAGAGTAAGCCGAAGAAGGCAGCCTTTGGTGAATTTACTTGACAGAGTCAGCTTCGGGAAGTGGGTACAACCAACGATAATCAGGGC